CTTTTGTCTTCTATTTTTCTTTTTTTTAGTTACATTCGTTGAATACTTAACACGTATAAATAATTATTTTAAATATAAACCAAATGGTGTGTTATAAATCACGAAAACGGGGGGGGGGAGGGGGAAATAAAATAAACGTGGGGGTTGGTCAAATGATCACAGTGTCCTGTAATTCGGCAAAAAGGCATGAAATATAACAATTTTATTCGTATATAAATCAAAGAAAATATATATTACTCTCAATCCCTCCCTCCCCCCTTCCCCCAATTGGGGCTAAAATCTCATTCTATATTAATTGTAAGATGTGTGTGTGTCTGTGTTGTTTTTTAACTGCTCACGATTGGAATGGAATATACATGAAGCAAAGAGGCGTCCGGTGGGTTTTAGCGTTAAAGTTACGACAGGGGTTCGTAACCAAGAAATAATAAGGTAACGTTTTCTATTTGCAAGAAAGCCAAGAGACGAAGTTTTCTACTGGCGCCATGTCTATTATTTCCCTCGAATTCGAGGTCAGCATAATTTCGCTTTTATCAGAAGCGAATAGAATTGGCTTGTAACATTGTAAATCGTATCGTATCGTATCGTATGGTATGGTATAGTTTTTTTTACAGTATCAACCCACCTTCTTTCTCTTCGTCACACTCTCTCTCTCTCTCTATCTCTCTCTTACTCTTTTTCTGTTAGAACGAAAAATCGATAGACGTTTTTCAAACGAATTGCCGATTCTCCTTTAGTATTTTAGAGACAGATAAATATCGATAGAACATAAATATATACCGTATACAAAACTGGCGTCTTAATTTAACCAACCGATACTTAATATGCTTTGGTTTTTTTTCGTAGGTGGGATGGGGGGAGGGATGATTGACGTTGAAATTAACGAAAACGTAAATTATTTTGGTAAAACTACGATCGGTGTATCGAGTCTTTGCGTATATATAATATATCAGTTTCGTGATTGAAACAGAAAAATGATTTTACGTTTTAAAATTGCATACAATACGCGTTTCCAATGATACATTTTTAACAGATTTCAAACTTCACGCGATTAGAATATATCTATTTCACATCAATTGAAGAAACTTTTAAATATATTGTTTTAATATACGAACAATTAACTATATATAGGATTTTTTTAAAAACATTATTCATAAAAAAATAACGTGGAAAAATGATAAAACACTTAGGTGTTGTATGCCTTTATAGGAACACGAGGGAGGGGCGGAGGAAGGTGTGTATTTCTAATTGATCATGTTTTGTAAGGTAACGATTCTGCCACACGTAGACGCAAGATCAAAAATGAAATCCAAATCGCGGATACGTAGAATGAAATGTCAAAGAGCGTGAGTTTATAAATACAATAAGAAATGGTGGGGCTTATTTATAACAGCCCTCGAACTCTATAAGTCGTGAGACAAATCGATCTATTTCTCAGATCGTCATGTATATACACGTAACCTTAAAAGAAAATCCTTTTTTTTCGAGGGAGGGGGGTTGCTAATCCGTATAAATAAATGCATATTGTGTTGTATGCGTTTGTTGTGTGTACAGAATAAGAGAGCAAGGATGCACGGTTAATTCAACGTGGTTTTGTGCGATAAAAGATATTGATCGGAAAGTTTCCATCCGTAAGAAAAAGGAAGAGGAGGAAGAACGGAAGGAAGGAAGGAAGGAAAAGGGAGGGAAGGGAAGGGAAGGGAAAGGTAGGGGAGTAGTCGGTCATGTACGGGGAACGCTTGGACATAAAAATCTTTTCCTTCATGGCAATAAGTTTGCTCGGAGTTTGCTCAACGTTCGACTACTACCCGAGAGAAAAAGAAAGAGAAAGAGAGAGGGTGGGAAAGGGAGAGAGAGGGAGAGAACGACTTTTCGTTTCTTCGAGGTTACCTCGAGGACAATAAAAAAGAACGACACCATTCTAAGGCAAATCAAAGTCGATTTTCAACGTATACGTGTCTTCTATTTTCTCTATATATATATATGTGTGTCTCTGTGTGTGTGTGTGTGTGTATTCTATCCGATCACCGTTGGTTTTACTTCGCACGACTAGTTTCGTCGATATCGAATATCATTAGCCCGAATATCGCGCAAACACGCTCGAACGAACCCCTAAGCTTTTGTTTCTCGAACCGAATGACTCGAATAGTACATATGTAGTAATATACGCGTACAAAAGAAAAAAAGATAGAAAGAGAAAGAATACTTTACCTTGGTTTAGATCTAACCATCAATGTATTGTCAAAGCTTCAAACTTAGCTGAAAATATATTAGAAAAAAATGTCGAGTGCTTTTTTTGCTACGAAACAAACTGTCGGCAGTATAAAATCATCTCGTCTATATGGGTTAATTAAATATCTTTAAAGTTAACTGGAACGATCTAAAATGGGAAGAGATTCGATTAAAAGTCAGGATTTTTTCTGTCATTTTTTGGAAGATTAGAAAACAACGTGCAAGTTATAACCACGAACGTTGTCTTCGTCGTCGTCGTCGTCGGCATCAAAGTATCACGACACCGAAAGAGGACTTTAGTTAAAGTTCATCGCACGTATTACTTGGTAAATCCCACCCACATTCCTTACCACCGCAAATCCTTCGTTCTCTTGGCAAAGCTGTCGGACGAACGAATACGTTAAAACGATTTTTCGGAATAGTCGAAAGCATTGCGATGAAACATCGGCCAAAGCTAGCTGACTACTCTAACCCATAGTTTATCTTTTCAAATTTTCTTTCCCCCTCTCTCTCTCTCTCTCTATCTTCTCCCTTTCTATTTTTTTCTTCGTTTATCCGTTCTTCCTCTCGATACACACTTCTCTCTCCCTTTTTATCTTTTTTTTTTCTCTCTCTCGGAACCCATCAGCTTTGCTCCGAGCCATCGTATATTTATTTTATCGCGATCCACATTCGCATACTACTCAGGAATAGTAGGAAGAAGGAAGGAAGGAAGGAAGGGAAGGGAAGAAAAAAAAAGAGAGGTCCGTTAAATTTATCGTAGAACGTGCCCGAGAAAAAAAAGCTGCTGAAGAAGAAGAAGGTGGGGTGAATTAGAATCTATCGGAATAACTTAGCGAATACTATTACTATGATACTTCAGTTTTGGTATTACTCTTCTTGGATTAGAAATTAACTTGGAATTAGGTTGACTCTACCCCACCGAACCGAATACCTTATTTCCGTCCTAGCACATCGCGTTATCTGTTTTATCGCGTTGCACGTGTTAGAATCAATAATTTTCGGTCGAGACTTCGGTTAAGAACAATGAAACATTTCGACAAAAAAAAAGTGTAATAATAGGTATAGCGCGTATAAAAGTATACGAGAACGATAGAGAAAAAAAAAAACGGGGAAGGAGGAGTGTTTGCTTTATATTATATCGTTAAATGTAATCACCCTATTTAATTTCTTTGTCAAACGCGATTGTATTAATAATCTGATCGAACGGTAGACACACAAATTTGCATTCATACATTATATTTATAATGAATATCGTATTATATGTGAAAATAATTTGCGCATGTTGATAAATGTTTTACATAAACGACTAAACGCGTTACCTGTGCGATGGGGAGAGGTGGGAGGAAGGAAGGGGAGGGAAGGGATTGGTAGATGAACAACAATTCACATGAATTCTATACACATCTCTACGATATAATAAATTATCATATTTTCTTCGTGTCCTAACGGGTAGAAAAATTTATCTTTATTTTTTTTTTTTTTTTTTTTTTTTAGTTTATTTTCTTCCCCCGTGTCTAAAATTTGTTCTCAAATGCATTGCTGTTGCGCACCGTTTACTGGGTCGCGTTTTGCACGTCGAGTATAATAAAATGACGTATGTCGTAGGTACGACATAAGTACCAGAGAAGTCGTGCGTTATCCAGGACGGAAAATACGCGCGCCATTTTAATAAATGCCACTTCGTGAGAGACCTATTATATATATGTGTGTGTGTGTGTGTTACAGTTAATCTTTGTATGAGTTTTGCGTACACGCGTGTTTGCGCAAAAACTATGAATCCGCCATAGATAAAAGCACATTACAGATTTTTCCTTTTTATCCCTTTTAGAAAATTTGAATTTCTCCGAGTTTCGCGTCCGGTTGATCGACCTCGATGCTAAAATTACTTTAGGAACCGTTCGTTATAATCATTAAATAGATACCTATCTGGCAATTGGGTTGGCAGTCGACAGCACAGCTGACTCAAAGCTCTTACTCAAATTTATTATTTCCTAACATTTTTTTTATCGCTGCCTGCGAGAGAACATCGAGAATAAAACAAAGTGGCGGAAAGTAGGAGAGCCAATTTATTTACGATACGAAAGAACAAATTGTTCCTTTTTGTTTTTTTTTTTTTTTTTTTATTTAGGTCCGAATCAAAAAACATAGCTAATTACTCGTTTATCTAATTGCAAGAGAAAAGTTTGAAAAAAAAGGCATATACAATGATGTTGCATCAGTGATGCATTCGAATTATACGCGAGTAGTAATAATACCTTATGAAGTATAGAGAAAAAAAAAGAAAAGAAAAGGGACGTAAAATTTCTTGATATACGATTTAACACCGTTGATTTTTCGTCGGCCAAAATCGAAAACGTCGACGAGTTAGATTCCAAGAAAATTTGGCAAATGTTTTTCCGAAGACCATATCGTGGTTCGATGAATCATCGGGATTAGAATTTCGGATATCCGAATTTATACGAAGGAGATGCGCTTTATTATTATTCTACCAACGGAATGATGATTATCAACGATAAGAAAAAAAGAAAAAGAAAAAACAAAAAAGGGGAGAGAGAAAGGAATCAGCAACACCTATATCTGTTTCATTCTTATTTCTCTTTCCCTGTTCGCACGTTTGTTCGTTTGCTGCTTCTAATTCTCACAATCAGAGTCCGTTGACTTTTTCGGTTGCGGTTTGCACAACATTTACGTTCGTTAACTTTTTGTGATATTAATTGTTGCTTGGTGTAAAACATATTTGTATTTGGGCAAAAGGTGCTCAAACTTACCGCATATCTTTGGAAGAGAGAAAAACTTTGACGATAGAAGCAATCTTGTGCGTATCACGTGAACCGGGCGTATCCGCTCCTCATATCCGTCTTAAACGAGACCTCGTTCGCGTTATTATACACTTTGTTTTCCCCTCTCTTTCTTTCTCTCTCTTTCTCTCTCTTTTTCTCTCAAGGAAAAAGAGCGTTGTCGGACGAAGAAGAAACTAAATAATAAGAGGAACGGTCAAGATATCTTTCGTCTAGCACCTTCTCCCTATTTTTTTTTTTTCTTTGGTTTTCGCTAAAGAAGTTTCTCCCGCAACACTGTAAAAAATTTCTTCTTCTTACGTACGCACAACAACAACCATCGTCGTCACCAACACCACCATCATCATCATCATCATCATCATCATCCTCCTCCACATCATCTGCATCATCTGCATCATCATCATCATCATCATCATCATCATCATCACAAACGGCACCCCAAAGATAACGTAGCACTAGACGAGTAGCATTAGCTAGCAACGTCACGATCGTCGCTGCTACTCTCTCTCTCTCTCTCTCTATCTATCTATCTCTTGTTCTCGCTCTCTCGTGTAAACTTATAAATAGATATCTGGGTACGTTCGATTATATTTATATATATGTACCCCGACGTATACGCGAGCGGTACGCATATATCTATACATATGCATATATATATACAGGACGCGCGTGAAAAGAGAAACGAGAGAAGAGGTGGTGTCGACCAAGATATACTTGGAAGGGGGTTGAACGTGTTCCCGGTATTACGGGGTAGTTTATCTTGACGTTTTCTTTCGGTCGTTTCGGTTGCTCGGCAAAATCCCAAATCGGTTGGCGCGCTAGCTAGCTCGATTGTTTCTGGGAAAAGTAGCGCATTAATGGTGCGCGCGGATGATATATATATATATATATATATATATGTATATATATATATATATATGTATATATATATATATATATGTATATATATATATATACCTCTCCCTTTTATTTCCCTTGGAGAGCACGCCTCCTTCCTTCCGGATCTCCGCCGTGGAGAGGTGCACGAGGAGCACCGGATATCTTACGCGATTATTTTCACCTATTAATTTATTTCTTACGCATCGCGCGTGCTGTTCTCTTTTTTTTCTTTTTTTTATTCTTTTTCTTTTTCTTTACCCCAAATCCACACTTTTCCTATCTCTATATTTCTCCCAACGCACACACGTCAACGTCCCTTTACTCGTATCTCTCTCTCTTTCTCTCTCTCCACGGCCAGTGCACCCTACGAGTATGTAAGTCTCTCTCTCTCTCTCTCTCTTTTTTGGTGACGGGCGGAGAAAGGAAAATACCCCAAAATGGAAAGAGAGAGAGTTGGAAAGATTAGATGAGCTTTTCTTTTCCTTTTTTTCTTCCTCTTCCTATCACCTTCTCACTCTCTCTCTCTCTCTCTCTCTCTCTCTCTCTCTCTCTCTCTCTGTCTGTGTCTCTCTCTTTCGTTTTACGAAAGGATTGTCATAAGATTTAGGACGAAGATACACACTACTAGTCCGAAAAAACTACGACGATCACGATCACGATCACGATCACGATCACGATCAAGACGAAGACGACGAAGATGACGACGAAGACGACGACGACGACGACGAAGACGACGGCACACGACACGCTCGAGTCGACGATACGTCGCCGGCTCGACGCCAGCGACGCCTGGCGTCGCGACGCCCCACCCCCACCAACACCGAGTCGACGCACCGTCTTTACCTCCTCCTCCTCCTCCCCCCGTTCCCACCCTTCCTCCGGCCAACACCATCCGCGCCTTTCCCTTTTCACGCACGCGCCTGATAAAGAACACAAAACAGGGTGGAGAAGGTAAATGCCTCCTTTTTACCGATATATCCACCGTAACGTGGACGGAGATCCAGCCATGAAAAAATCGATGGGGATTAGCTGGAGGTGATCGGAGGAGGCCGGGGGGTTTGGTTGCAACAGAGGACCACCAACTATTTTCCTATTTTCTAATATTCTTGTATCACATTCGTCCGTTGTGTTTTTAATTGAAATATATTTATCAAATACGTAATTTCTTTCTGAAGGATCCTCGTACGAATCCTTTCCCTTTCCCTTTCCCTTTTCCCGTCGACTGGGACACACTGGGAATTTCGACTAATTTTAAAACTAAAGAATAAATATCTGTCGCATTATTGCAAGCTACCTTGTAGAACGATCATTAGCGCGCGTGCAAGGACATTGTACCCTGGGGAAATTAAAATAACGTAAGTGGAGGCCGTACGAATGTACTATTAGCTGGTTGGTTGGTGTACGTTTGTATGGTCGCGCGTTTAGATAGATACGCGTTCTTTTCCTCCTCCTCCTCCTCCTCTTCTTTTTCATCTTCTTCTTCTTTATTGCGACCGCGATATAAATGCTAGTAGGTTCCTCGAAATGAAATAACTTTCAAGTTCTTAACTATAGACAGACAAAGGGAAAAACATTTTGTCAACGATCTATCGCGTGTTTTATTCAAACATATATCAACCCATATTTTAATTGTGAAAATGGATTATTATTATAATCGAAACGAAAACTAGGAATATCATTTTCTTCGAATATGTTTGCCCTCTACCTCCTGTTTAATTTTATTATTATTATTATTAGTCGAGTTTTCTCTACCTTTCGAACCAAAAAAAGAATATAGAAAACTTTAAATATACATCTTGTCCAAATGAAAATACTGTGATCACTGAACCAAAATGGCTGAGGGGGATAATGACCCTTCTCGGTGTTGTACTTGTACAACACATTGTATTTTGTGTCTGATCGTTTGATGGGAGCGTTTATGTCCGTGCATATATTGGATACACCCAGCCACGGATACAAGACACGTTTTATACTCGTATATAGGTCAGGCTGATTCTAATACCGAGCAAGTTGCATGTTACACGTGTCGTATTTAACCGCGCGATTCATTAGCGCACGCCCTTATTAAACATAATCGCCATGTCGTATATCCTTTTCATCCAATAGATTTTAATCTTTTGAACGATGCAAATACATATTGTAGGATTCATGAAAAAATTCAGCCGGTGGACTACTGAGTGGATCCGGAAATCGAATCATTAATCTTTTGGCTTTCCGGAAGAATTTTTTGACCATCCATTGGAATTATATCCAAGACCCACCACCGTCCAATCTTTTCACAAATGCCTAATTAAGTATTTGAGCATAAAGGCGCTCGTCCCACGCTTTACCCATACCTCCTCTACCATAATATTTGACCTCGAATGTTACATCTAAATTCTATGACAATATTTTCTCGAGGAATGTTGCTGGACGCTTGAAAACCTCTTTTCTAGTTCCCCAGTTAACTTACTCGCGTCGCTACAATCGTGAAAATTTTAAACGCGCGCTATTGGTCGCTTGACCCGATCGAAAATTGCCAAGTGACGTCATGGCCTTTGTCGTATTCCATGTTAAAAATGGCAAACCGTTAGATGGCTCCACGTTGGTTCCATGCAAAAATTATCGTGTAAGCGAAAATAATTGAACCGTTGAACTGACTGGACCGGAAATTCGAATTTTTTTTCTGGATAACTGATCTTGATCCACTACCATATCTAGTACTCTATCAACTAGTATATCTAATAATGTATCTAGTACTATATCCATTACTCTATCAACTGCGTTGTTCAGTGCGCATCATCCGATCTTCTCATGAATGCCTATTTAAATAGTTGAGCATTGATATGCTCGTCTCATAATACTTTCATTAGATAACTTTTCATTTGATTTCACCTTTCTAAGCAGAATTTGTAACGAATAAATTATGATCATGAATTTGGATTTATCCAAATCGCTGATCGACACTATTATTTTTTATGTAAGATTTATTTTAAACAATATATTAATTATATATAATGATAATTAACTATTACAGAATTCGATTGGATAACAAACGTGGTTGTTAATCACGCGTGTTAATTATTCAATTAATTAAACAGAAGTGAAGTCTTTTGTCCCTCGAAAACAACGTTGTTAGCCGCAGTTGAATGGCGACGTTCGAGCTGCTTGGCCATAGAATATGTGGTGAGAGTGGCAGCGCTGATTGTTGCATAGGATGTAGTAGAAATCTACTTGTCGATAGCGGGCTACTACAAATTTCCTAAGTTGAACGCACTCTAGGACGTTTCTTAAACTATTCCCACCATCTTGTATTGTGCTTTGCATAATCAGTACAAGATCCAATTGCCGACAGAGAGGGTGTATTTCAGTTCAGTTAATAATCCAGTGAATCTCTCATACCTATTAAACATTAGAAGAAGACTAATTAAGCTCGGTGGCGATTCATACGGCTTCACTCAGGAAGAAAAGATACAAAAGTATTATAGGTATGAAAAATTAACTTGAAGAAATTCGGTAAAATACATACTGTTTACTACCGACCACTGGTTCTTGGACTACGAGTATAGTAGTATTTTTTGTCACGTGTTAATCGTGTCTATGTGTTAGTGTACGTGTATGTTAATCGTGTTTATGTTTAGTGTGTTATGTGTTTATGTTGCTGTTGTGTACGCTTGCGTGTTACGAAGAAGCCTTGGAAAATGCAATCATCTAAACCAGTCGAAAACAGGCAAACTTCATCTTTTTCATCAGGAAATGCGTTTTTTTTTTTTTATATAATGGGGTAATTCGACACACTGAATCGAATGGTGATAATTTTGTTGCACTAGATGTGCCATTTTGAAGAAAAAGGGTTAAAAAGGGTAAAAAATGGCTATACCTTAGAATCTAGGCACATTTAATCCAACAAAATTTCAAACAAAAGTTGTAGAGAATTGAAAAATACATAAAAAATGTACACATACGAAGGATCTTCGACAATATAAAAAAAATAAAAGAAAAACAATAATTCATTTTAATAGAAACTATTATTATTTAGTCGAGAGATTAAAAATAATGAATTAAGGTATTTACGTATTAACACCACCGCGGCAACTAAAAATTAGCACACAACAAATAATAAGAAAACCAAAAGATAGCTTCGTGTGCAAATAAATAACAAGTTTTTGCGTGTAAACAATACAGCTACTATATATAAACAACAAGATTGCCTTTTATCGGCTTTTTAATAGAATTTTAGTTGCCGCGGTGGCGTTAATACGTAAGTACCTGAATTAATTTTGTGCCTCGACATATATAAAATTAATTGGCATAATTAATTGATATAAACATTTAGCCTCGCAAAAATTTATTTGTGTGTATCAAATTGAATACATATATGAAAAAGAAGAATTTTATATATATCTACATATATAAAATTAATTTAAGATACACAGGAAAGGATATTCTAAAAAATGTGGAATTTATTTTTTGTCTAGACATAATTTTAATTCATTTTTATTGTGTTATATAAGAAAACAGTAATGCATTATTTTTATTCAGCTTCAAAAAGTCATAAAAATTGTGAGAAAAAAAAATGAATATTCATCACGTGGTACGCTATAACGTAAGTAGTATAGTCGTCTGTGCTTCTCGCGCCGATTATTCACGTTCGATTCTCTAATAAAATAATTCAAATTTTTGTTTCAGTTTTCGAGATTTTTAAAACTAATGCAGAGAAGTGTTAATGCCTATTACTACTATGCTTACAATCAACGGCCGTGCAGCTTTGACAGCATTAGTTTCCTCGCGATCACTAATTGTAAGTCAAGCAACTCTGGACACGGTTAGTACTTGGATGGGTGAACCGAATTTTTTAGGAGTACCGTGTGCCATTGACATCAAGACTTAGCTTAGTTAACATTTAGAACTAATCCCAGCCCAGATAAAAAGAATAAGGTGTTGTATATAAGCTGCGAAAAAGAATGTTTTGTGTTTCGCAAAAGAAATATAACTTCTTACGTCCGTGCATAAATACACACACACCAGACTTGTTTTATCATTTTAACTTGTTGCTGCAAATGACTGGCTATAGCCGGTCCGATTTTTGACGATATCATTCATCTAGGCAAACAACAGTTGCAGCCGTCGAGGAGTTTTCATGGATAATAAACAATTGAAAACAAATAATGTGTTTCTAAGCACGATCGTCAAATTAAAAGTGGTGTGCGGTAATTATATAACGTATAATATAATATGGTAACGTGTAATTATATAAAAGTTTTCACACACACAGCAGAAAGAAAAATAAATAAATCCTACAATTATCCCACTCCTGATACTCTGTATTCGTCACATTCTCTCGAAGTTTAGTTTTTAGAAGGATTCATTGCTACTGCATACGAATGAAATTTCACCAATGGAACATCCGACCACCATGAACACGTTACCCGATAGGAAACTCGAATGTAAACTATAGAGTGGTAAGATACACCAGTGTCATCGAGTTAAACTAACAACCGTCTGCCGATTGCAAGATGATGATATGATGAGTTTATGACAAAATGAATAATAAAAGATATAAAAAGAATTTAAAAATATCGAAGAATGGTAAACTTACAAAAGACAGATTGAAATCGTACAAAGAATCAACTTTCCTAATTGTTCGTTTGACACTGTCAATTTTTGATTCAAATACATAGGTACGTATAACTTATAATTAATAACAAGCCTGTTTATATATATATATACTTGTAGAACCTTAATACTATTCTTAAACTCTTCCACTAAAAAAAGGATAAACTAGGGTTACCGAAGAGATGAGTTTTATTTATATAATCTTGGCCCGATTATATTTGTATATTTAATACGTGGACTCTCATGATTCCTCCGAATTTGGACAAGTATCTTTATTCTTCAGTTGGGGATATCAACCAATCAATGTAAAAAGAAATGAGCGATACCTTGATGGAAATAAATGGAATCACATTTAACAAATTCACTTGGTCGAGGAGCGTGTTGTAAATAATAAAATGATTGTCATCGTTGAATTGGAATAAATACAAGTTGAAATACAAAACAGAAAACGATGGTAATTAACGCCTAAGTAACAGAATCGTATTGGAGGGAAATAATATGAAGGTGCGTTTCTAACGTACCGAGGCAAGGCGTAACAAAACACATACGCGAAAGAGAAGTAACCGGATATGATGCTGTAAAAATAGAAGACTATACGTTCAAATGAAATAAAGGTGGAAACCTTACAATGGATCCCTTTCCTCCCGCTCTTTCTCTTATGAAAATTCCAAAAGGAGAGGATGAAAAAAAACTATTAATTGCAAAGACGAGATAGGAAGTTTAACGGTCGGACTTGTGGAAAAATTATGCATATACGCAAACTTTCGTTCTCCCTTTCATGAATCGTTTTCACAAGTGACGCGACATTTCTATAATTAATCATAAAACGAATGTCCCTGTTATTCGTTTCCGGTGGATGTTGCGATATGGTTGCTACCATTGGAGGAGAAGCAGATAGTGGGGAACAAATAGAAATCGCCAATAAGGTTTAGCTTGAAGTATAGCGTAATATTGGACACAAAACTGTTCTCTTTCTTTCGGTAAGTAAAGCCGGCGCCGGTTCTGTAGAGAAGCTGTTATAAGACGTGTGCTGAGTAGTATATCATTTACAGATCATAAAACTTCAAACCTTGCTGAAACGTTTTTTGCCGCTCAAATTAATCTCAGAGGAAGTTTTATCGCGTATCTCTAGTTAATCAATTACTTTGATTGTTCTCCTATCATAACGATGGCGACGGTTGAGTGCTACCAAAATCAAGCTCAGGCTGCTGCTGAGAATGATCAACAACCACAAAGTCAACAGCAGAGTCAACAGCAAAATCAACAGCCTGCACCACAGCCGACCGCTGGAATTCCCGGAAGGGATGACGAGCGTAAGCTCTTCGTCGGTGGCCTATCGAGAAATACCACAGACAGAGAATTGCGTGATCATTTTGGGAAATTTGGAGACATCGAGAGCATTACAGTGAAAATCGATCCGTATACCGGCGTCTCTAGAGGATTTGCATTTATGGTTTTCGCCAATCCTAAAACGATCGACAAATTACTTGCCTCGGGAGAACATTACATCAATAAACGTAAGGTAAGTACTTCTCTTGTAAATCTTAAAGATTTTACATAAAGGTTGCACAACGTGGTACGACATAATATAGTAGTAAGCTGCGCGTTGAGGGAATTTTTTTTCCCTCCTTTCTTCAACCGTTTGTTCAACCGTTGTTTCTCTATCCGTTTCTCCACTCGCCGGCGCTGCTGCTATATCCGCAAAAGATTATTGTTCTTGACGCGCGCCCGACCTATTTAAAAATATCGAGTAATAATTTCCTTTCACGTGTACAATTTATTTCTATTTTTACTATCTTAGAAATAACTCTCTCCTTGGTTCCTTTGTCGAAATATATTGGCTGTCCGTGAAGCGTGCATTATTTTTCATACTATCCTTTCAATTATAATTAACATGGATATAATTTATATATGCTTTTATTTTAAAGGTTGATCCAAAAAGAGTCAGCAAGAAACAACAACATGGAAAAATTTTTGTTGGCGGTCTGACACCTGAAATTACAGACGACGATATTAAATCATACTTTAGTCAGTATGGAACAATAGTCGAGCTGCAGGCACCGTTTGATAAAGTAAAAAACCAACGGAAGGGTTTCTGTTTCATAACATTTGATTCTAAGGAAGTTGTGTACAAATTACTGAAAACTCCAAAACAAACAATTAATGGCAAGGAAGTAGATGTTAAAAAAGTCAAAGTTAATGTAGATCCTAGACCACAAGGATTTTGGGGACCTGGATACAGTTATGGATATGCTGGTGGCTATGGTTATATTCCGGAATATTGCAACGGATATCAAGGAGGCTATGACGATATGTATGGAAATTATGATTATACTTGTTACGATGGTTATGAAAATATGGGTTATTCGGCTCAAGGTAAACCACGAGGCAATGGACAAGGACCACGTCAATTTCAGAGACATCAACCATACTAAAAGCATCAACCATATTAGAAATACTAAATCTTCACATGTTTATGATCAAGTCTAATACAGGAGTAAAGCAGGGAGGTTTACCGTTAGAGTCTGACTGAAACAAGGGAATTTAGATGGAAAAAGGTATTATAAATGCCCGATATCGTCTCCCTTAAATTTCAATAATTTCGTACGTCATGTCTGTACAATATTAGATACCTTTATGTAAATTTGTTAAAAAAAATTTTCTCACTACTTTGGCGCAATGATGATTGATGTTAAGAATTTAAATGATACGGATAAAATTTCTATAAAATGCACATTTTGCCTCCCATCTACGGATTAAAAATAAGAACAAGTATTAATAGGGTTTGCATTTTCTTAAATAAAAGCAAAACTATTAATACCAACTATAATTTTACTAAATTTGAATAAAAATATTTACAAAAATAGTTTTTCATGATCTATGTTTCGATTAATAATTATATAAATTTTTTAGATCCCTAGAAAAAATCCGAGGTTGAATGACATATTATCTACTTGTTACTCATCTCTCATACTAATAATTCATCTACTAAATAATTAAATTTCTTTGGCTATTCCATAGCTATTTCCATAACCACTCTTTAGAATTTTAGGTTGCATTATGATATACTCTATTTTTTGCTTGGTGTTATTTTTATCTCAAAAAAAAAAAAAAAAAAAAGAAAAAAAAAATAAGAAAACAAGAACGCTGTATAGCTTGCATTTGTTTTTTTCTTTTTCTCAGTGGTGTGAGTTCTATTTTTTTTTTTTAAATATGTTTCTATTCTATTGCAAATTGCCGATTATGGACCAAAAAAATTTGCTCACATTAAATCGTATTTCTTCCTTGTAAGATTATTATTCTATATCCATATGCTCAATTATATATAATTGTTTATAATCTAAAGATAAATCTCGTAACTTATGTGAATTATTAATATGTGCATACTTGTGTGCATAGGCAGGTTAGCCTAAGTATATATACTGATATAGGAATTAAGTTAAAACATTTGAAAAATGTATAATTAAAATATGAACGTCCTTGGGTATTAAACATAAGAGATACTTACGCGACGTTAAATTACGAGTAATATTTCTATGTAATTCGTATATAACGAAAATTGTCATTGAAGAAACTTTAACATTAAGAAAGAAAAGAAAAGAAAAGGAAAAAAAACAAACACAAATATATTACTTGCTTTATGTATATATGTATATGTGTATGTTTATGTATGTATACATATATATATACATATATGTATATATATGTATATAATTAGATAGAGTAATGGGAACATTTCTCCTGCTTAATTTTTCTATATTACAAAGTATGAAATTAATATGTAATTAATTCTAAAATGAATAAAAATAATAATAATAATTTTTATTATTATACGAGTCTTTTTTTATATACGAATAATTAGACAGATCTAAAAGCAATCCAAATTAATAATAAAATTTTACCGAATTCACACTTAATATGTAAACCAAAATGACAAAAAAAAAGTTAACATAGAATTGTTGAATATATTTTACTTAGCCTAATATTCACAATTGTAGTTATATTTCAGTCTGAATTATCTCTATAAACGAAAAGATTTCTATCGCTTGAAATCTGAACCTATCGTAATTTACATTCTTTCAAACTGTTTAAAACTAATTACTTGTAAATGTGTGATGTCTGATTCAAGTAAATTATTGATTTCATCATACTCAAATACAATTGAGAAAGAGATTTATATAATGCTTATAAATTTTANATTTATATATTTATATATGTATGTATCAACGATCTATTGAAGTTTCAATAGATCATTTCTACGAGTATATACGTGTATTTGCTCTTCTCTTTAATTGTAACATAACGTTGTAGTATAGTTTAGACGTCGCGTTTGTACTCATTATGTCGTAAATGTCACACGAATACGGCGAAAATAATTACATCTAAGCGCGTAAAGCAAAAACAAAATTTGTTTAAGACAGACACTGGAGTAACAGAATGTTTCTAAATACAATATGAATGAACAATTTATAAGTTACGAAATCGTTTAGGCTACATTGACATTTCTTTCGCATTTTTATCGAGAGTAGCAGTTCCCGTTTGATATTACAAACTTCTGCTCTTCATATCGCGAAAAGACTGTTCAAACACGTAGTATATCATTCGACATGATACAATATCTAGACAATTCGATGATCGGTATTAATCGTACAATTTTTTGACCGCTAAATTCAATTCATTAACGTTGTTATTGTAAAACAACAACTAAGAAAGGGAAAAAAAAGAAAAAAGAAAACGCATTTCTAAATGATGCACCGAAAACTACGTTATATACATCGAAATTATGTCGTTTACAAGGCTGGCCAAGCTTAATACATTCGAAAGACATTCAATGGTTACAAAAGTGTATCTACGGTTTGGTTTAAATCTTATATAGAAAATAATTATGTTCCGCTGATCGGGTTCTTACATACGAGATATTAAACCAAACCAACTATGCTTTTGAAATTCAATATGTATACTATGTATACTATTTTGCTGCGTGTGAAAAAAAAAAAAAAAAATATATATATAAAAAAAGATGAAAAAAAGAAAAAAAAAAAAAGAAAAAAAAGAAAAAGTGTGTGAAATTAAAGGAAAATAACATGATAATATTTTGTTACAATTAATTAATATTCGCCTGTTTCACCCATGACACAGTGTATATTTTAATTATAGCAAGAAATAAAATGCCTATTACTTAAAAAAAAAAACAAAAAAAAAAGCAAACAAAATTGTTTTCAATCACTTTTAAAAAAATGTGTTCTGTGATTCGATACACACAATGCCGAAATTCTAACTTGATCCAAATATTTAAATAATTGACATTAAATTGCGTTCATTATTTTTCTAGAACAATCATAATCCAAAGTTTCGATTTATTATTAATCAAACAACCACGCCGTTTTAAATAAAATAAGTTTTTAAGCGTTATACGGAATCATCGAAATATTATTTCAGCTTATTCTCGTAACTCTAGTTCTATATAAAAATCGTTATAATACGAAACTAAGAAAATAATACCGTTAAACCGCGCGATTGGTCGAATATATTTTTCGAATTAAACCAATCGGAATGAGACATATCCTATATCTATATATATATATATATACATATTTCTTTTTGTTCGATATAGTTTGATTATGGGCGGGTTTTCATAACTAATGACGACATTTTTTCCCAACCAATAGTCAATAACCGAGCACGCGAATCGGATTTCTATTCGTCGAGAATATTCTGTGAAATAATATACGAGATAGTAAAAATTCGGTATGTGAACTCGGATTAAACGTTAAAGCGGCAGTTGTGCATGGGTGTAATCGCAGTAGCAGAGGAGGAGGAGGAGGCAGCTGCAGTGTCATCGCTTCCCATTACATTGTACGGTGGTGTTGTCCTAAGGGAGTACGAATAAGAAGCGAGAGCTGTTACACTATGTTTCACATAGGACTGGTACAATTAATAGAGCGGATTATGCTTAATCGTAGGCCGCGGGATTTTGTCATGTAGCCTCCCGCGGACGAAATAATTAACACGTTTGTTTATATATCATCGATGTACCGAAAAATATCGAAAGCGTTTGCTACAAAAGCTCCAGAGTTGAGGGGTGGTCGCATGAAGTCGATATCACCGACGTTATTATTAAAACAGCAACAACCGTTGTCGTCGTTGTCGTCGTCGTCGTCGTCGTCGTCGTTGTTACAACTGTTATCGTATATTTTTTCATCTTATTCCTCCTCCTCGTCGACGTCGTCGTCGTCGTCGTCGTCGTCGGCGTCGTCGTCGTCGTCGTCGTCGTCGTCGACCTCGACATCGACATCTACATCGAGATCGAAATTTTCATCATTATTCCAATGTAATCTGATGTCACAATCCTGATCATGCATGCAGTAGTTCTCATATTATTTCAAACAACGACTATAAACTCGTCGTCTACTATTTAAATCCTCGGTAAGTTGAGCACGTTTTATTTTCTATTTGCCCATAGCGCTACATGTGGAGGAATTTTCCGCTACAGTCCATCATACATGTTCATCATCGCACCGTGTCTCTCTCTCTTTCTTTCTTTCTCTCTCTTTCTCTCTCTTGTTTATGTGTTGATTTTTTTTACTTACATATTATTACGACACTTTGCATTCGTTACTTATTTTGCGGGTGTGCGTTATTTTACTCGTGTGTACGAATAAATCAGCCGTAAATGGAATTGGCTCGTAACACGAGAAACATTATACGTTGTTGAAGAAATACTCTCTCACTTAATAGTGAGAATTTGATGGTTATACCGGTGACAATGAATTTACTGAACACGAATAAGATTAACGCAGGGTTGGTTTGTTGCGATTCATTTTTCTTTTTTTTTTTTGTTTCCATAGCCTAAAACTTTTATGCTTAATATTTCCAATGATAGTATTATCGCGAATAAAACCTATATTATTATATAATGATTATAAATATTTGTGTTGTACGATTAATACGTCCAACGGAGATATCTATTATGCATTTCAACGTGAATCAAGATTAATTTATTTTTTCGTATTTTATTCGATTTAAATACGCGTTCGTTTTTTTTTTGTTTGAATATTATATGATGAGATATTGTATTTAAAAAAAAAAAAAAAAAAAAACGTTATATTAAAATATTGCTTTGTATAATTTGTATGTGTGTGTAAACGTGGTACATTAAAATTTATTTAATCTAAATGGAATAATAACTAATTAAGTTCCAGATATGGAGTTGATAAGTGCCAGGAGATTGCACCAAATCTGAACGAGGCCATTGGTATTGAAAAACTATTGTATTTGTGTTATCAAACTGTTTACCTTGGTACTTAACCTAGGAGAAAAAGAAGATGTCACAGTTAAATATAAGTACAGGAAAAAAAGGAAGGGGTGTTGCAAGTACCTCAGCTTCATCCGTATCAGCGTTAACCAGTTCAACTGATTTAGCTAGCCTATTCGAATGTCCTGTTTGTTTTGATTATGTACTACCACCTATCTTGCAGTGTCAAAGTGGACATCTCGTTTGTAGTAATTGTCGACCAAAACTTACCTGTTGCCCTACTTGTAGAGGCCCATTAGGTACGTCAAATGTATATGAATATTATATACTTAAGTTTATGCTAAAGCAATTATCTAATACAACGTGGAATATATACAAAGTCCTAATCTTATCTTTCTTTTTTCTCTTTTCTTTTTTCTATTATCTAAGCAAAGTAAGATTGTATTAATCGTTCGGAAACGTTCGTTATTCATTTAATTTCACAATTTTAAACCTATAATAGGAAAAAGATAATAATATTAATTAGTATAGTAGTTTGTGACAAAGAAAAGCAAACAAAAATGCTGACAAAAGACCTGACGACAGTCAGTATCTACGGTCCGTCTCTTAAAAGTTACTTCTTATGTATCATTTATCGTGTTTGTTCTCTTTTAAATTAGGTAATATTCGCAATCTGGCTATGGAAAAGGTAGCGAGTAATGTAATGTTTCCTTGCAAATACTCTATTAGCGGATGCACGGTATCTTTGATGCATACCGAAAAGCCAGATCACGAGGATGTGTGCGAATTCCGTCCATATAGTTGTCCTTGTCCTGGTGCATCTTGTAAGTGGCAGGGATCTCTCGAACAAGTGATGCCGCATCTTGTTACGAGTCATAAAAGCATTACTACTCTTCAAGGTATGCGTTCTTATTTATTAGTTACATTGCATAATATGTAATGTTAGTAACGGTTCATCGCGATTAATCTTAGGAGAAGACATAGTTTTTCTCGCAACTGATATAAATCTTCCCGGAGCTGTGGATTGGGTAATGATGCAATCATGTTACGGTCATCATTTCATGTTGGTACTGGAAAAGCAGGAAAAATACGACGGTCATCAACAATTTTTTGCGATTGTTCAATTGATTGGTTCGAGAAAGCAAGCAGAAAACTTTGCTTACAGGTAAAATTCACTTTCGTTTTTTTTTTATAATTCTAAATAAATATAATTATAAAACACGTATAATTATGTCAATGTACATAATTTTCAATAGGCTAGAATTAAATGGACATAAAAGACGCCTTACGTGGGAAGCTATGCCACGTTCTATACATGAAGGGGTCTCGTCTGCTATTTTAAATTCCGACTGCCTTGTATTTGATACGTCTGTTGCTAATTTTTTTGCGGATAACGGAAACCTAGGAATTAATGTTACAATTTCTATGGCATGAGGAAAGCCAGAGAAAACAGTTTAGAATCATTCAGACATATCGTGAAGTCTTTGAATTGAACTCCTAAACTGACACGAAAGATTGCCTGTTATGCATACATAATTTCTTTCATGTTACCACAGATGAATATTAGCAATATGGATGTTAGAAAATATTGGAAATAGATTGACAAAGTGCAACATTTACACACTTGGTTACAGAAACATCCGTGTAGGAGCTTTAAAGTATACTTGTATGTGATATTAATAATACATGTGAATAGAAGATAAACAGCTATTTGGTTAAAGCAGCTAAAAAAGCCAATTTATAGAAAGTACCTGACAGTCATAACACGATGCTTTCTCTTAGTCATCTCTTATCAATTTTTTATTTATAATATTCCTTAGCGAATTTTATATTAATTTAAATGTTAAGAGTACATCACAAATATCATCACTTAATACGATTTACCTAACAGACTCGTCTATATCTTTATTTCTAATCTATTTAAACATTTTCATCTCTTTCTCTTTCTCTTCCTCTCCCTCTCTCTTTGTCTAGATGTATCATGCACTGCTAACGAAAAATTACGATCAATTCTACCGACATAATAATTTGTTTGAATTTTGACAGGAATATTTGATTTTTAACGAATTTTATTTAAAAAAAAAAAATTTTCAAATTCTTCTTGATATGAACGTTATCTTGTATTATTTCACGCAATCGTATACATATATTTAGATTTTAATGTATAAAACACATATACAAAAGTTCAGCATTACAGATATTATTTTATACGCTGTAAGTTAATTATAAAATTGTAAATTACACAATATTTTCAAACATGCGCGTATTGCCCATGATATCAAGCAAGATAAATTCACTAAGAATGGCGATATCTTATAAACCTATTAACTATATTGTTTGCAGTTTGGAAGAGCGAAATGGAAGATTTCGACTATTTCATATAGTCGAATCATTTTTTTATATGCAGACATTTTCCGTGAAATAGCTTGAGAACAAATTCTGTGGTCATGAAGTGAACCTAGTACTGCATACAAAACACGTGCTTGTTACACGTATATGTATATATGATATATATATATATATTCGGATAGAAAAACAAAAATTTACAATCGCGTCGCTACGTGACTTACGATAAGTAATACAAGTAAGAAGACATACATACATATATATGTATGTTTATTTTATATAAGTTTATATATATAAATTTATAAGTATCATATATAAAAATTTATAAGTATATCATCATGTATATTTATAGGTATATTATATAAATTTATATATATATATATATATATATACTTATATAAAATATATATACATATATATGTATGTATGTCTTAGTTATATTACTTATCGTGAGTCACGTAGCGACGCGATTGCAAATTTTTGTTTTTCTATCCGTCATACGATCCGAACCCTTAAGGTGATGGCAAAAAACTAAACATTATAATAGCGTGTATCAATTAAACTATCCCTGTAAAGAGGTAGTTTATTTCTTGATACACACATAATTAAACTAAATAATCTAAAGAAAAAAATGTGAAGTCATAGTCAAAGTAAGAATAAGTTTGGAAAGATCGAGGATACATTTTTCATCGTAATAGATTTCATATATAATTAATTAGAATATTATAATAATATTTATTCTCTTTTCTCATTTTATTTCTTATTATTAT